GTAAAATAAATGCCCAAATATCCAGACAAGAGGAGACTATGAAAAGAATTTAAAAATCTATACATAAGCAATATGTGCCAGCACAGAAAGCTGTCCTATAACTTTGTATATAAAGATACAAGCCACTCGGGGCACCTGAGTGGCTCAGTCGGTTGAGGATCTGACTCTTGATTTTGGCTCAGGTCATGATCTCATGGTCATGAGGTTGAGCCTGGCATCGGGCTCTGTGCTGAGTGCTGAGCATGGAAATTGCTTAAGACTCTCTCTCTCTCCTTTTGTCTCTATCTCCCTCTGCCCCTCTCCTCTGCTTGCATTCTGTCTCTAAAATTAAAAACAAAAATACAAGCCACTCGACCCTATGAAAGTATGATCCTATTTGTATTAAAATATAAAGGATATATATATGTATGTTTACAGATGCACAAGAAACTATGTAAGGATACACAAGCTTTTCCTTCTGGAAAGTGAATAGCGGAGCAGGTTGAGGAAGAATTTTCTTTTCATTGTACCTCCTTCTGGTGCTGTTTGGGCTTTTTACCATGATGATGAACTATTGCACTTAACCAGTCATATGTTAGGGAAGTGAGTTACTCAAAACAATGTGATACCAAATGAATGAAAGAGCAAATACGTACACAGAAGAGGGAGATCCTCTGTCACAAACCTGTTTGCTCAGCCCTGTGCCCATTGGACCGAGTTGAAGTAATGGATTGTATTCCTATTGGCTGCGATCTTTCCATATCCAAGCTGTAAGTCATTGACTCCAGGATAATAGGTTAAATATGAAGTTCTACGCTGGGCATTATGTCAGCTGCCTTAACAATCATGGCAGACCCCCAAAGGAGGGCCCTGAAACCAAAAGATTTTTTTTTTCAGATGAACTGGTAGCCATTTGGAGATGCCTTCCCTCTGCTCATCCCTCTCCCATCTCCCCTCCTTCCTCCACCCCTCACAACCATGCTTTCCCCTCCCCTCCACCACCTTCTTCTGTGGCCTGCTCCAAGCAGAAGAAATGGCAGATCCAAAATCTTCACCCTTCCTCAGAACTCACCTGCGTTGAGCATGACCAAGTTAGACAATGACTCAAGCTGTTCTGTGCGCATCCTTGTAAGCTTACGGGGGAAACCAGGAAGCAGACCTCATGAAATTGTATCTATCACCTATCTCTCTGTCTGTCTGTCTCTCCATCATCTGTCATATATACATGTACACATACATATGCACGTATGCAAATGTGTGTACATGTACACATATGTAGACACTTGCAAACATGCATATACTGGTTTCTTTGGGAATCTGGGATGTGGTTCTGACCACTGTGCAGGCAGATAATGTGCTTACTGCGAACGTGGGAGGAAGCCCAGGGAGGAGGGGCAGACGAGGGGAAGGGAGGGCACTGGTGTCTGTGGGTGGGCCCGATCCCCAGGCAGGGAAAGAATTTGGCCCATTTGATATATTTTCGTTGGATCAGATCATTAGACAGTAAATATGACATAAGTCTCTGAGCCAGGTCGGTGATAAAGAGGGAAATGTTTTTATTTCTTGGTAGGCTCAGAATTACCTATTTTCTAACAGGCAAAGGGCATCTACCCTCCAAAGAAGATCTTTGCACACTTGAATGCAAATGTGTCTTCTTTCCTCAGCTACGCTCCCGACCTAAGTTTCCTCTTACACCATCTTTCCCAGAACTGAGCACCCCTTGGTAAGGCCAGCCTGGACGTCCCCCAGCCCTGGCAGGCCCCGAGGCCTGGCCTGAGCAGGTCCAGGAGACACGTACAGGCCTCGCCTGGCAACAGCCTTACTCCATTTTAATGAGTCTCATTTGCCCTTAAGACTTGTTTTTCAGTTTCTGACTCATGCCAGGCTCATTTATTTGGTATTTCGGCTTGATGAGTACCCAGGTTTTAACCCACTTAGGACTGTTTTCAGCCTCATTCTGGAAGCTCCAGGTTTTGTCCAAAAATTCCTCAACCGCAACCAGCTCACTGCTCCCCTTTTCTCTAGTATCCCTTATTTCCCCAATAGCTACAGCCATTGTCTGCGTGCCTCCCCAACGTGCACACACACACGCAAATACACACACGCAAATACAACACACATACTGGACAAGTGGCCTTTACAATAATGGAAGGCTGCAGGTTTGATTATTATTTCAATTACCCCAAGTAACGTGAGGAAGGAAAGCCTCTCTGGAATGTTCCATGAAAAGTTTGCATGCCTTCCAAATGCAATTTTTTTCTTCTTCCCTCAAAGACTCATCCTTCTCCTTCGAACAAAGGCCCTCTGAGGGTTTGTTTTTCATCTAAGACCAAACCACTGACTCCTGATTGGGGAGAACTGTGCATGATGGAGGGTGAGAAGAAAGAGTTTTCAGTAGAAATGAATTTGTAAACGTCTTCCCTGCTCTGCCTCTCCTGGAGTGGGTGACCCACATACCATAAAAATTTTCAGTCTAGGATTTTGAGTTCAGCAGAGACTTTCATTTTCATTAATTATCCCAAGGATCCACGCTGTCTTTCCCTCGGGGGAGGGGAGGGAGCACACACAGAAAATGGTGTATTTGGGGGTCAAGTCTCCTCTGAGCAGCCCCAGAGAGGAGAAGGACAGGCAGGCCCCGTTCCCGTCACTGCTCCTGGTGCCATATGTGCTGTGCTGCCCGTGGGCATGGAGTCTGCCTCTGCCTGGGCTGCCCTGGGGCTGTTTCCAGGGACTAAGCTCCGTGGGCTTCCCCCCAATGCTGCCACTTCCCATCCTCACCGTGTGTACATGCAGCATGAGAACACGGGGACCTGGCGGGTCCAGTGACGCTTCCGGTCCCTGATCTCCCCATTTCACAGTATGATAGCACTGTTATTTTGATGCCGTGCCAAATTTTTGTTTTAAAACCAGCTCCCTACAGACAGTTTTAGACGGACCAGAAATAACTTTTACGGCCTGCAAAATACCTTTCTCTTGGGACGTTTTTGTTGTGCTTTGAATACATTTTAGCACAGTGAGGTAACGTTCACGGACTCGCAGAGACACGGGGTGAGAAAGCAACTCCAGAGACATCCCATCCATCACCGTGACGCCAGGCCGGCTTCACCCAAAACATCCCAGACGTAGGTAAATATCCTGTTTTCACAGGTCATCAGAAAAAGAGACTCTACGCCACTCTGGGGGAACCCACTCCAGCGCAGACTTCCCTTCAATGCTGTCATTAGTACTTGTGTTACCGGGAAAACACCCCACACTAGACTGCTGTGAGTTTTTAAAACCCAAATTTGTGTATTTGGCACCAGATGTCACAAAACAGCCTGATTGTCAGCACACTGTTTAACTGCTGTTGAAAAATGTCATTTCAAACCAAATACATCTATCCGTGGGGTTGGTCCCCATTGGACAGCTTTCATTTTACAGTCAATGTGTGACCTTCTGTCCCCTTAGGATTCCCTTCCCTCGTGGATCTGGTCATCATTAAATGGTGAGGCTCTGCAGGTGTACCCTTATGCCTTCCTGCTCCCAGGATCACAGCCGTTGCATCCCTTCCCCTAAACTGTGTTAGCAGGAGCAGAACCACCCTCGAAAGCAAAGCACCCTGTTCCGTGGAGGGTGTTTGCTCAGACACGCTCAAAGCTTTCTGACACTCGGGTTGTTCCTTTGGTTTTTAGAAATAGCAGCTTTAAGGGAGTCCTTTCCCTGGCCTTCCCCTTCCGCGATGCAACACAGGAAACCCCGGTGTAGTCTCTGAGAGGTCTAGTTACATTTTGGCATCGAATAATCCCCAGGGCCTTCTGCAGCTAGAAGCAAAATAGTCCTCTCCCTTTCTTTCCGCTATTTCCTTTGGCGAAGCGGAAAGTCATAAGGAACCGGATCGGTCAGGAAAGCCTTGACCAAGAGCTGGTACGAACCTCAGACAAGACGCAAGTCGATGAGATGCTGTGTGCACAGTCATTGTCTGAGACAGAGGGTCTGAAATCGACACCATGTGCTTCCCAAGGAGTAATTGCTCCAAGGGGGGGAGAAAAGCAACGTGTCAGAACATTTTAGTAACACCTAATTCATCTCGAGGTTATAAATAAATCTTCATGCTTGCTTAGAAACAAAAGTCGAAAAATACTTTGACCAGATTACTTTGGTGACAGTGCTTCTAGCAGAGGCGAACTTTGCTGGGGAGACAACATGAGTAGAGAGAAACACGTAACAACTTTTTATGGTATATTTTACATGATTTTATTTTTTTGCAGTAAATAAAGTGGTTATAGGGCTCCAAGGAAAAGGGCCCAGATGTTAGAGAGTTGTGTGAAATTTAGGGGAAACAAGCTGTAAAAAGCGCAGTCATAAAACAGGCTGTCAGTGCCACACATCTGGACAATACAGCTGTATGTTCCTAGTGGCTGTCGTCACCCAAAGAAAACTCAATAACCTCATTTCACCCCAATTAGGCTGCATACCAACAGGATCAGCATTAAATTGCAAGGGGGCGGGAGAGAAACGTTCATATGGCGCCTCGGCGTCAAGCAGTTTTTATCTTGCATTTGAAGTTGGTCACCAATAAGTAAAAGATTGCTAACATAGCTATTTCCATTATTATAAAACCCTATTTAACTTATAATGTTGTAATAAGTCAACGTTTGACAGCTTGGACTATTGGCTGTGCCACACAATAGACTTTCTGTAGCATGAAACTGACCTATCAGTCATCGTGAATGGAGCCCGGGCATATCTTTCGTCTACCCCTTTCTGGGAGTCTGAGTCTCGCAGCATTGTGGGAAGCACTCTCCGCCTTATTGGAAAAATAAGTTCATTTTCAGACAACCCAGTTTATGTAAAGTAGAAGATAAATGCCCCTCTCGATGGTGATGGGGCTTTTGGCTCTAATTCTTTCAGCCAGCAGTGAGGCACCTTTGCAATAAGACGAATATTACAAAGCTGAAATACCATTTCATCTTTTTGTTACCAATAGACCATGCCAAAGGTTATAAAATGCCCCCTTTCCTATTAATTGTGTTTCTTCCTAGGTGTTAATGGCAGCAAAGGCAATTATGGACAGTGGAGAGAAATTAACCCTACCGCTGATAGGGAAACTGTTGAAATTTGAGCTTCTCCAGATTAAATTTAAGGACCAGCAGCGACGGGAAAATGAAAAGAAGGTACTGTGTGACGGTGGGTCTTCTAAAGAGGGCAAACAGGGCATAAAATGGAGCCAGTTTTCTCCAGGGCCACTTCCTGTCTTCGTAAGCCTTCCATTAAGTGTTACCTAGCACGTTCAGCTGTCACCTGGACAAGTTAGGAAAAAGGCCATCCAAAGATCTGTTCAATCTATCTTCTCAAAGACAGACCTATTAAAATTAGTTCCCCTGTGCAGAAATCGGACAATAGTCAGGGTATGTGCACGTGGTTGTTAGAGTAGTCTACTTATATGCTACTAACAAAGAAGGGAATCAAGGGGAGACAGAATCAGGAGAAGTAAATGTAAACTGAAAAAAAAAAACCCCACAAAGTCAGGGTGTAACCATTTAAAATATTCTCTCTCCTATTCAGTAGGAGTTCCTATTAAAATGGCAGGCTACATCTGCACCTTCATAATAATCTGAACATTTCAGCAGCAATTCATCACTCCACCTCTCCTCCCCCTCCCCGTTATATGCCTGATGACTTCCTCACATGTAGAATTCTCATTTAATTTGCCTATGGAAATCAGTCTGTGTGTTTTCCAAAGATTCGTGTTTTCATCTGAAAAAAAAATTTTTAAATACCTTTAGCAAAACGATGCTAGGTTCAAATCCATTTGTTATTATCATTACTCAGAACAAGAGATGTTTTTCTTCTTTTCCAAATCATGCTGAAATGTTTTTGGAAAGCCAAACGCTTTTGTACGTACATGTGTGATGTGTGTGTGCGCGCACGCATGCACGCACACATGTATCTATGAACTGGATTTACCTGTAAGCTGTATCATTATGCCCCTGTGTGGAAGATGCAAAATCAGTTCATGGAAGAAGAAAAAGAAGAGGGAACATGTTCCAGTAATACCTTCCTCACCTTTGCAAGATCCCCAAACCTAGGTTTCCTATTTGAATTGGATGCCTGACAGAATAGTTGTAGGAAAAAAATAATAATGCCACCTTATATTGGCAGGATAGGGCTTTATGTTTTTCAAAGAGATTCCCCATTAGCATCTTATTAGGGTGGTGCACATTGTTCCCAGGAAAATTCTACTCATAGGAACACAAGTGATGGTCTAGTTTTCCATCTATCACAGCTCTTTTCGTCATGTACAGGAGATTTGTACCTTAAGAAATACCCGGGGACATTAAGACTTGGCAGAAGAAAAATTGGAAAATTGGAAACTAGTATAGACACATCTTTTCTCGCCTTTTTGAATTCTAGCGTCACTTGGGAATCGGAATTATAGAAAGTAGACTACGAGTCCTGCGAAAGTCTTTGCGCCTCTGTTTTCTCTGTGCTTTTCCCCACAGCGCCTACAAACATACCTGATGTGCTCTAGGTGATCAGTTTACTCGTTTGCCACCTATTTGAAGTCAGCAACTGTTTGCAATAGAGTAAGGTTTAGTTTTCAGTTAATGAATTTTAAGTAGCAGTAAATGGAATATCTTGGCAGCTCAAGGAAAAAATTTGCAAGCTAGCAACAATATAAAAATATTCCTGCAGTAATTTTCCTCAGCATTTCTTTGAAATGTGAGCTATGAGATTCTGAAGATGTGCAAATAATCTTAGTTTATTGTTGAAAATTCAAAAGTCTAAAGGAATTGGGGCTTGAATTTTAGATAGATAGATAGATAGATAGATAGATAGATAGATAGATAGATAAAGAGAACTCTGAGCAATGAAGAGCCAATAATTACACAGTCTAATCTGATGTCTTCATTAGATTGGGTTCCCAAAACAACAGTCCCAAATCTCTCAGTTGCAACCATACTAGTAAGTGCTAAATAAGTTGATGAAAACCGACTGGAATGGAGTACTCTCCAGAAAATACTCTTGGTAAAGGCCAGACGAAGAGAGTTGTTTGAAGGATGATATAATCTCTAGTCATTTCAACACTACCACCCAACCCATCAGTTAGAACAATTGAAAGTAAAGTAAGTATAAGTAAATAAAATTGAGCCACATTGTTGATGAGAAAATGAAAAAAAGAAAAGAAGACTTTGCCCAGTGTCTTCCTCTTTCTTGAACTCAGGCTGAGATTCTGAGATTCCTAAAAGGAGAGTGACTGTCTCTTCAGCTTTATAATAGCAACAAGAAATCTATGTAGGTCTTTCCTTTCAAATGCTCATAACTCTATTCCCCAAAACTGGGCAAGCCAAGTTGTGTTTTGTGTCTCCTATATTGAATTTTCAGAATTGTATTTTAAAAAATAAATGCTTACAAAATATCCAGAGCAGGAACTAACAAAAAACACTAGGGAGAAAATATGGACCAAAATAACTAATAGAATTAGGTCCCTGTCCTTTTCCCCAGTGAAACAAATAGATCATTATATATTTGATCCTGTTTTAATCAACCAAAATTTTTCTTAAAAATAAGTGGCAGAAAAGAAAATAAGTGGTGAATAATATAGTTCCAAATGCCAAATACAGTTACAATATCATTATTTTAGATTCCACTGATTTTAATGATAGAAATCATTAAGTGCTAAAAAGCACTTTAGTGTGGGCTATGCTTACCATCGCATTTGCTTTGTCCATGAAGAGAGTTTGCTGGCTAAATAATATTATAAAAAAAATAATACAAGGGAAGATATTTCGTAGAGGAACAGTTTTAAAGGCTTTAGCACGTGCATTTCTGAAAAGCAAATGCCTGCTGGTAATTGCAGTGAAGTAAAAAATAGTTGAACACTCTGATCTATTTGGAAACACCTTGTTGGTTACTTCTAAATATACATATCATGAAGAAAATATATTGTATTTCTCTAAATAAATTTTAGCATTTCAGAAATTCTGAAGGACTCTTTTATGCAATTAATCCTAAATTGGATTTTGTTGTATCTTAAAATCTGAGAGGTTTGTTTAGAAATGACTCTTCCTTGCACACGTGATTATCTCAGCATTTATTCTGCATTTTTAGATCTATCATTGCCAATCTGTTTTTTAATTCATCAACTTAACAAACACTTATTGAAACAAACTTTACAGAAACAAAGTACTAGGCACACATATATCATAATGTTCATTATAATTTTAAAATAAATTATTTGGGGTTTGTATTCTGATCCATGTTTTAATTTTATCTATCTGAATATTATAGCATTGTTCACATTTGTTACTTTTTGTTCACTCCAACTTTCATGTTTATATTAATGATAAACATTTAAAACCAAAGCACTTTATTATAAATATATTGAGAATTCAGCTAAAACATTTAATCATCCAAAAAAGATGAAAAGTGCCTATAATACAAAAAAAATAACATTTAAATCATCTGCTAAACTAAATCTAGCCTTCCTATGCCTCTGAGTCCAGTTCAGAAAATTTGCATATGTTTAGACAAAGATCCAAATGTATTTGAACTGTGCTTTTAATTTGTGAATTCAAATAACCAGTCCATATTTTCTTGGATATTTTTAACATATCTTTTATGTAAAAGCAGAACAATTCTTTCTCTTTCTGGCTTCTATACTTGGTACAAGTTGCCTTATTTTCCAGAGAACTAGAATTGGAGAGAAAGCAGTCAAGAAGTACGGAGAGATAGTACTGGTAAACTTTTCTTAAAACACCTCAAAATTAAAAGCACCTAAATTTGATAAGACATTATGATGAAGCCACAAACAACCCAGGGCCTGCTCCAAAGGAGAGACGAAGAGAAATTAGGGTAACCTTCACAGACGTTTTACAGCTTACTCCATCTGAAACCCCAAAATACTGGAAACCAGCCAACGTAATGCCATTTTTTGTGTGTGTTTTGTTTTAAAAGAAAGACCAGAGGGACATACCAGGAAATTACAGGCTGGTTAGTTTTGATTCAGTTGTGGTTAAAATCTTCAAAAACTATTTTAAGAAATCAAACAGAGGAAGAGCAGGAACTCAGTTTAGAGGGACCCGTGTGGTTTCAGGAAAGGAATAACTTGCCTCACTAACTAGATGGAATTCTTTGAAGCAGGATTATCAAAATGAGGGTACTACCACCAGAACCGTTGGATCTAAAGAGCTACAAAATTCAGCAATTCCGCATAAGTAATAAATGACTCCCTGGCTAACTGATCTGTAGAAAAGAAGTGTTTTCCTAATTGGGATGCTTTTAATTAATGAAAACTGTTTATGGACTTCAGGAAAAAATGTAAAGAAATGCACATATTTAGAATACAGTAGTATCTTTAAATATGAGCAGAGACAGTTACCACAATTAATGATAACATTTAGCTACCGTTACTGACTCTTCGGCAGTATACTAGGCTCTTTACACATGTTATATCATTTAATCTTTTAAATGATTTTATGAGGTACAGAGTATTATTCTTGACTTCCAGATGGGAAAACTAAAGGTGTGAAAAGTTAAGTAACTTTTCCCAGGTTAAATAGCTACTCAGAGGTAGCACTAGGATTCAGATCCAAAACTTTCAGACACTATGTTCTTAACCACTGTACAGACGCCTTCCGAACGTGTCTCAATAGCTGTGCAAAATGGCACTCTTTGCCCGCAGTCGAGAGTGCCTGCCCAGAGATATTTCCCTGTAAGAGCAATGGCCTTGCTTCAGTGAACTACCAACAGCCGTCTGGTCCCACTAATTACATTGCGTACAACATCCTGAGGTGACATGTGGGGACAAGCCAAGGAAAGGAACATAGCTTACCAAACACAAAGTCCACAGAACTAACCAACCACCAATTCTCAAGGGAATTTTGATTTCATTTTTGGCCCCACCCAACTGCCCAGAAATGACCTGGTTCTCCGGGAAAATCTCGTAGGATGAAACTTCCTGAGATTTTTCCAAACATCCTCCCCCATCTCTCTGCCCTTTTGGATGTTGAGATAGAACAACACTGGCTGAGCCACTACTAGAGCCTCTGAATCACATAGAATCCTGCAGCGGACAGACATCAGACAGACATCAGACCCACGCCCTCACTGCCACCAATCACAGAACACAGCCATGTTCTAAGTCTGTGGACTCCAGTTCTGAAGATGGCAA